CACCCACCTCCCCGTGTTGGAAGGAGCCGGCAAGAAGGAACTGAGGGGGTGGAAGGGCCAGCAGGGGTATATATGCATCGGTATACCGGCGCCACTCCAGGGGGCTCCCTGCTGGCCCTATGGATACTGCTAAGGGAAAAAAGCTCCGGAATCCGTGCACGCAGTGCGCGTACACCTAATCAGAATGGACATGAGCAACACATCTCGAAGAACTACGGTTACGAGGTACGTAACCTCTTCTTATCTAGGTCATACAGATATGACATGTCATTTTAGAGTATCACTTGATCCTCTCCCACTACAGCCTTATTTAGTCTGTTCTTGGTCTGTTTCCTAGGATTTGGATCTAGAATAGCCTCTGATCTGGCTGGCACATTCCATCCTGATGTATTTGTCTTTCCAATATTACTGTGGTCAGCACATGGACATCAACTCCAAAACTGTCATTGCTATAGATTTTTTTTTCTTTCTATGTTGGTGCTCTAGAAATACAAATACAGTAAAACCTGTGTTATCCGGCACATTCGGGGATTAGGATGTTCTGGTTATCTAAAAATTCCGTTATCTGAGGGTCCCATCAACCTAGGAAAAACCAATGGACAATACTAGTAAAACTCAAGTTTTTAATATTGGGGGTTTTGTAGTGTGAGGCAGTTGGTCTCACATTTCTATTTTGAGTTAAAGATGATTAGTACTTCTTAAATAAAAAATTAAGCCAATCATGGTTAAACCAAGCCAGACCTGTGTGCCTGAAAATGTGACAGTATTGTGGCTGGGGGCAATGCCTGTTTAAAAAAGTTTTCTGGTTAAGAGTACCAGATAACAAAGGTTTCACTGTATTCCCCTTTATGTGTTTGGGGCAAAGTCAGAAAGTTCTCCTTTATTCTCTCATTAATACTTTTCTTTCTTTCTTTCTTTTTTTTTGTTTTTTTTTTTTTTTTTTTGCCAAATTTTTCTTTGGAAGATAAGTATTTTTCCTAAAGACATCTTCTCTGTGTGTTTCACCTCTCCTGCCATTCCGTATCATTATTTTGTACCATAAGATTCTTATGCTAAATTGATCAATTATTGTAAAAGGCAGAAGGGAATAAGAGATCTTTATTCCAGTAGTAGGCTTTTAATGGTTATAAGTTTTTGTTTTTTTTAATTAACAGATCCATTCTTTTATAACACATATTTTAAAACTTTAGTTGCTTTTCCTATTACTGAGTGTATTTGAGCCTTCCCTCTATCTTTGTGTAGTATCCAGTCAGGAATTATAAAAGCCACTTACTTTATTGTAACTGGTGTTCAAAGATGGCATCCTCTGAAAAATATTCACCAGATGCCTGACCATATGAATTCTAAATTTTTTTGTTAAACAAATAAATCCCTCGGATCACTCTTAGGACTATGAACTGGTCTTGAAAGATTGGCACTTTGATGTTTGTAACTGACAGTCTAATCAGAGCAAGTCTTACTTTGAAATGCATGCTTGATAAGCAGCTTATGTAGTTATGGGTGTATGGATCTGAGACAACACTGCTCTATAGAATATGCTACTTAATGTCAGACCCCACCAGATACATGTAAGTAAATCCAGTTTCCAGAGTGTTAGCAAAGAAATTGTCAGTTAAAGAAAGATTAAACAGATAAATGAGAAACAATATTTTTAAAAAAATCTGTGTTTATAGAATTTTGCCTGCGTATTTCAGTTTTTAGGTTAAATAACTGTATAGCTATAAATCTGATGTCAATCATTTAATGGAAAAACAGAATTGTTTAGATTCCGTTTAAGAAATTCTATTGCAACATTAGGAAACCATCAATCAATACTTGACACTCGAGATATCAAAATAAGTTTAAAGGGTCTTTTGCCTTCAAACATTTATCCTCCCTTCTGTTGCTATTTAATGGGAGTTGCATACTGAAACAGATGGGAAATAAAAGAATTTAGATCCCTTTTACATGAAGATTCCCTGCAAAAATATCATTGTTTCTAAAGTTCCACTTATCTATTATTGCTGTGTTCTGTCGGGATGTATATACTTTGGCTGCTGTGCACAGTCTAAGACTCTGAAAGGTGGAAGAATCCTAGAGTTTGGGCTGGAGTTGGATCCCCAATATCTACACTGCAGTTAAACAGCTCGGGTATGTCTACACTACCACCCTAGTTCGAACTAGGGTGGTAGTGTAGACATACCCTTAGAGTGCACGCACCTCCTGGCGGTGAGAGATGCCCTTTCTGGGGGTGCGAGACATGCCAGATTTTTATGATATATCTTAGGTTTAAAACTGACCTACTTCAACTATTTTTAAAAAGGGGTGCAAGAACATATTTTGAGAACCAAAGGGGTGCAGGCTGCAGTAAGGTTAAGAACCACTAGTCTAGACCATCCCTGATAGATCTCTATCTAACCTGCTCCTAAAAATCTCTAGAGATGGAGATTCCACACCCTCCTTGGGCAACTTATTCCAGTGTTTAACCACCCTGACAGTAAGGAAGAGAAGGAGGAACCTTCCTACATTTGCCTGGCTCTAAAGACCAACTAGCATTGCCTCTGCTGAGTTTGAGAGAAAGCAGGACTGCTAATCAGTTGCAGCCACAGTGGCAGACATTGTCCTAGAAATGCGGGATGGGAAGAGGTGGAACCTCCCTAGTCCTTAGCCCAAGCCTCATGAGCTTGAGTCAGGCCAGCCACAGGCATCTAATTGCAGTGTAGACATAACATGTATGCACATAAACTGCTTGACTGTGAAGAAGAGCAGACTGAATATATGTAACACAAAGCCACATGTAAACATTATGAATTTAGAAAATACAGAAAAACTGAAAAGTTTAATGTAAAAATATAAGCTCATAGCAATAAAATAGTAATGAGAGATGTAGCCGTGTTAGTCTGATCTTGCTGAAACAAAAGAATGGACTATGCAGCATTTTAAAGACTAACAAGATGGTTTATTAGGTGATGAGCTTTCGTGGGCCAGACCCACTTCCTCAGATCCAATTCTGAAAGAGAATTGGCATGACCATATATACCAAAGAAATACAATGAAAATAAAATAGTTTCTGTACTTTAGAGATCTGTTATCCCAATGAGCAAGCGCACACTCCATCATTGGCAGCAGTTCCTGAACAGCTTAAAATATCAGAAGGGTAGTTGTTAGGCTGTCTCTGCAAAAACAGTGAGGAATCCTGTGACATCTTAAAGACTAACATTTATTTGGGCATAAGCTTTTATGGGCAAAGACCCATTTCGTTAGATGCATCCGACAAAGTGTGTCTTTGCCCACAAAAGCTTATGCTTTAATAAATCTGTTAGTCTTTGAGCTGCCACAGGACTCCTTGTTGCTTGAACAACTTCAGTGAACCATGTAAAAATATGTTTGTAGTGGTACTAGTTTGTGTGATTGGTACATTATATCTGATAGACAGTTGTAGCTACAATTATGCGATGTTTCTGTATTGGCCATGTTAGATTCAAGTTGCCAAGAGTTGCTTTGTTGCCCATTTTCCTAGTGTGCATCTGTTGCAGATACACTGGGAGACTTTTTATTGGGTATTTGTAGACTGCCACATGGGCCTCTTACTTTAAATGGATTGACCCCTTAAATAAAAAGTCATGATTTTCCAATGCTTTAAATCCTCATCTAAAATGAACATGCTTTTAGCTGTTGGAGCTGTGGACTGTTAATTTCAAGTGTTTAATTTCAGTTCACTGTTACTGAATAAGTCTGCGACTGTGAGTCAGACTGGACCTCTTTAGGGGTCCAGTACATATGTACAATTATGCTACCAAGGTTGGTTTAAGAGTTCTACTGCGTCATTTTAGTTAACTGTATGTAGAATTTTCCATAATAGCACAATGTAGGTAGAACTAAACCAGGGGTGGCCAACCTGTTACAGACGAAGAGCCAAAATAGAGGTGGATACAGCAAAGAGCTGAGGGTAAAAAAGTTGTTGCGGGGGGAAGGGCAGGTGGAAAAAAGGGCCAGGCTGCAGCCCTTTTAAGAGCAGAGCAGGCATTGCCCTTTTAAGGCAGCTAGTTTGAAGTCTTCACCGATGACCCGTACAGACAGAAACACGCTGCCCCTTTCAGAGCTGTGAAGTGTGGGTACGGGAGCAACAATTTTTTCTTTGAAGAGCTGCATGCGGCTCGCAAGCTGTGGGTTGGCCACCCCTGAACTAAACAGTCTGTGTCTCCCATACCTAAAGCATTAAATACTCTCATATACATTTCTCATCAGTAACTATGTGCAACAATTATTAGAAGATCTGTTTGTTTTTAGAGACTTTGAGGGAAAATGTAATCATATCTGGACAGGGTTAGGGTTATTAGTCTGCTGTAGTGTGGTGTTTTGCATTACATTGGTCAGTTTTTAAAATGAATGCTTCAGGTACATGCTACCTCACTTCTCAGGGGGACATGATTTCATAAATAATTAAAGACAAGTCTTTGTTAGTTACAGGATGAAGAGCGCAGACGGCAGCAACAGTTAGAAGAGATGCGTAAACGAGAAGCAGAAGACAGGGCCAGGCAAGAAGAAGAGCGCCGACGCCAGGAGGAGGAGCGGACCAAGAGAGAGGCTGAAGAAAAGGTCATGGTCCTCTGAGTGCAGCAAGAATTCTTTGTAGGCTTCACCTACTTAGCCTGACCATTAACAATTTGGTTTTGCTATGGGGGTGTGTGTGAATATATTAACATGATGGTAATATTCCTGGGCTGAGTCCCTCTACCATCCATAATAGTATAGACCCTGGCTTAACATCCAGACTCAGATCATTCTTGACTTTTTAGTAACTCTCAAGCAATAACACAACAGAAATCTCAGGCTAAGTATCCTCCCTGAGCTTGTTTGTCACTAGTAGAGTTTACCTTTAAAGCCTTCTTTACCTTGGCTTTCTAGTTTCTTCTGCCTGAAAGAATCATTCTTACACTGCTTTTATCTGAGTTGGAGCTGACTGTCCTATCAGTAATCATTCTGGAACTTAATGCAGAGTTTTAGTACCTAAGACTTACAGTGACTCGATAGAAGAATCTTGTATTGTCTTTGTTGGATATTTTAGTGAACTTCACTGAAATTAAAATCAGAAAACAAAAAATTAAGTTTGATCTTATAGGTTTTAGATCTGGTTTTTATACAAAAAGAAAAATATAGTCTATGGAATTCAGAGATGCAGAAGTGGAAAGAATGTTCCACTGTATTTTTGTTACGTTTGTTTGAATCTTTTATGCAGGAAGCTATTAGAACTGAATGTGATCTAGCAGAAATTGGACTATACACTCAAGCACATGCCCAAAACTCCAGACTTTTAGATCCCTTAAGCTTCTTAGCATCTTACAGGAGTTTATTCACATTTTTTTTAGAAGATTTCAATCTTTTTACTTGACTTTCAATGTAGTAGATGTAGAACAATCCTACCCACTTTAAGGATACGTCTAGATTACATGGCTCTGTCGATGGAGCCATGTAAAATAGTTTATTCGGCATAGTCAAAGAAGCGGGGATTTAAATAATTACCTCGTGAAATGAGGTTTACTGCTCCTTTGTCGACCGCGCCGCATCTAGACTGCCGCACTGTCAGATCAGCTGATCGTCAGCACAGCACGGCGGCCATTTTTATTTTAATGAAGCAGGGATTATTTAAATCCCCATTTCTTTGACTATGCAGAATAAACTATTTTACATGGCTCTGTTGATTGAGCCATGTAGTCTAGACATAGCCTAAGATTTCACTGAGCAGGTTTCTTTAAAATGAAAAATTGGATTGTAATGAAATTGTGACTTCAGAATAGAGAAGGATGTTTTAATGCTAGGAGGAGCACCTCTGGAGAAGATCAAGTAGGGGAAAATTTTAAAAGCTTTAAAACCTGTTTTTCAGTGTTCTAAGAGTAATGGACTAACAGTGAACAATAAATAAATAAATCTGAATGAATCATTTTCCGGGGGAAGTGGTTACAGCCCTGTCACCGGGATGTCACACACAGTTGGACTCCGCAAAGTGCTAAAGGTCATAATCACAGGAAAGTGAGAGGTGGAGGTGGATAAGATTGATCAGTAATAGATATTCTCCATCTCTAACTTCAGTAATTTCTATCATGAGCTTTTGTGGGTAAAACCTCCTTGAAAGCTCATGATACTATATATTTGTAATAGTCTGCAAGGTGCCACAGAACTACTAGTTTTTAAAGGTGCAGACTAAAACAGCTACTTTGAGACTTTATAGTGATTTACAACATCCTAAGGATATTTGGGTCACTTACAGTTGAAAGGCTTTTCTGACTGGCAAATCTGACCAATCTGACACAGTTACGTATCAATCTCAGAGATGTCAAGTATCAGAGGGGTAGCCGTGTTAGTCTGAATCTGCAGAAGCGATGAGGAGTCCTGTGGCACCTTATAGACTAACTGAAGTGTAGGAGCATAAGCTTTCGTGGGCAAAGACCCACTTCGTCAGATGCATGTAGTGGAAATTTCCAGAGGCAGGAATAAATATGCAGGCCAGGATCAGGCTGGAGATGACCAGGTGGATCCAATCAAGGAGGATGAGGCCCACTTCTAGCAGCTGATCTGGAGGTGTGAATTCCAAGAGAATAGAAGCTGCTTTTGTAGTTAGCAAGCCATTCACAGTCTTTGTTTAATCCAGAGTTGATTGTGTCAAACTTAAAGATGAACTGTAGCTCAGCAGTTTCTCTTTGAAGTCTGGTCCTGAAGTTTTTTTGCTGCAGGATAGCTACTTTTAGATCTGCAATTGTGTGTCCAGGAAGATTGAAGTGTTCCCCTACAGGTTTTTGTATGTTGCCATTCCTAATATCAGATTTGTGTCCATTGATTCTTTTACGTAGGGACTGTCCTGTTTGGCCGATGTATATAGCAGTGGGGCATTGTTGGCACATGATGGCATATATTACGTTGGTGGATGTGCAGGAGAATGTACCAGTGACAGTATGGCTGATCTGGTTAGGTCCTGTGATGGTGTTGCTGGTGTATATATGTGGGCAGAGTTGGCACCGAGAGATGGTTATGTATGACACACTTCCCATTTTGAAGGCTCTAAAGCTGTGTTTCTGAAAGTGTTCTGCGGAATCACTTTCAAGCACATTAAGTGGCCGTCCCAGTTTGTTTATTTACCGGCGCCGTGGCCTGGCTCCATTTCATCCTTGGCAGCCAAGGGGAGCCATGGGAAGCAGTGGCCCAGCCCATGCCGCTTCCTGCGGCTCCCCTTGGATGCAAAGGATGAAACGGAGCCAATGGGAGCCACGAGCCTCTGTGGCCGCGGTGCCAGTAAATAAACTGAAGCGGCCAGTTAATGTGTTTAAGAATGATTCCACAGAACACTTTCAGAAACGCTGCTTTAGAGTATTTAGGTGGCACTAAATTTGTAACCAACAGAAGGGTAACTAGCTCAGACTTTGTTAGTTAAGAAGATTTTCGGGCTGTTTAAGAAGGGTATATATTTATTTATTTGAATTTACTTTTTTAAATGTATATCCAAAACTGCAGGCACCCTGCCACAAATTGCAAGTTTTTTCCAAGAAGCTGTACTATCCACTCTTAATTTAACAAGAAATAATGTTCTGCCTGTCTGATTCCAAAATACAAATATCCAGAAGTCAATGAATCAAAAAATGATAGAATTTGACCTTCACAGTTTATAGTGAAAGTCTGAAATAGAACTGTTAACTCACAATAGAGTTCTGACAGGAGTTCATGCAAATTAAGTGCTTTTTATTTCTAAGAACAATAAAAACTCTGAACTGGAAAAATATAGGAAACAGTTCACATATGGTAGTAACATCGTACCTCCTGGGATGAAAAAGTTCAAATATGTACACTAGCACATTATTTTTGTCAAAATCACCCAAAAGTTCAGTGCAGGTTATTTTTTATGGCCATACAGAAATATCACATGTATAGTGTTTTCTTCATGAGTTTGTAGAAGACACTTGAAGAGAGTTTAAATTATTTTTTAAAAAAGGTTAAATTGCAGAACTTGCAATTTGTTCTTGCATGATGTTTGTTGTTCCAATGTCTATAGTTTATGCCTATAGAATCAGTGAGCTTCAAATGTCTGTTGAAGACATATTCAGAAGAGAGAAGGCAATTGTATTCTCTCGCAAAGTTCCTTTATAATAGGGCTACTCAACTTTGGAAGCCTGGGGGGCCATAATGATACTCACAGCACATGCCGAGGGCCGCAACTTAAGTGGGTTGCATACACACACACACACAGACGCACACAAAAAAATAGCTTCTTTCACACTGATGGGCATGAATACAAAGCACTTTCCCACAATGCCCCAGTGCTCCTGGCTCCTCCTTTCTGGGGTCTAGAAACACCGACATCCCGTACACATCTCTTCCAGTCAGCCCATCTGCTTGTGTCTTTCAATGCTCACCCCCCTGGGGAGACGCCTTGCTGTTGTGGAGCGTGTTCCCAGCGGAAGTTGTGTTCAAAGGATCCCACCTGTGGGCGGTGTGTTGAGCCTCGTGTAAACCCAAACTGCACCGCGAGCCGCAAACAAATGGACTGTGGGCCATATGCAGCCCATGGGCCATGTGTTGAGTAGCTCTGCTTTATAAGATGATGACCTATTTGTCTTTCATTTTTCTTAAATACTTTCAGCTTTGTGAAATCCTTACTTTATCAATTCAAACTTTTTTTTTTAAAGGTCAGTTTAGGGAATTCATTAGTGGAGCAGAGTTTTATTTTTGTTAACACAAGTATGGTGTCAGCACAGACCATGCAGCAACTCCAGAAATAACTCAGAATTAACATTGTTACTAAATAATTCTGTCAATTTCATACTAGTAAATATACTCTTTGTATAATGATTTGGTTGGTTTCCTTACTCATTACAGGGAAAGGGAGATGCTCATTTCTCTTGGGGAGGAAAACTTGAATCCATCCTGTTTCTCTTGTTTTGATCACTGCACTTTTCTTTTCTATGGGTCTACAGAGGCGACAGGAGGAGGAATATTACAACCGTTTAGAAGCTGAAAGGCGTAGACAGCATGATGAGGCAGAACGAAGATTACTGGAACCTGACGAGCCTGGTCTGTACAGACCTCCGCTTCCACGGGAATATGAGCTCCCACCCCCACCCCCCCCATCTAATGCTCCTCCTCCCCCACCTCAGCGAAACACCTCTTACCTCAAAACACAGGTCCTCTCCCCTGATACGGTTTATACTGCCAAGTTTGTTGCATACAATGATGATGATGAGGAGGATTCCACTCTAGCAGGTCAGGATAAGTACTCCAACACAAGAAAATCTTATGGTGACCTTCCTCCTGCCACCCTTCCGCCGCAGCAGCCCTTCCACCAGCCGCGCCCAGTGTCAGATGGCATCTTTCTTTCCAACTCATTCCAGCCACCCTCGGTCAATGCCAACAGTACTGCTTCCAAAACAAGTCATCCCCTACCCCCATCAAACAAACCAAGTTTCTTCTATCCCAGCAGCCCAAAAGGTAGAAACAAAAAATGAAATCAGAATCTTTCTCTACTAAACTGTCTGCACATTTTCCACTGTGGTGCTGTAGATATAATCACTTCCTGTGTGATTTTTTTTCTCTCCCCTCCCCCCCTCCTCACTTGGTCACTATTCTCAGCATGGTGATCTAACTTTAATCTTGATATCAGTGTGAATGCTCCTATTTGTAAACATTTTAATCTTTTATATTTTCTTGTTCCTCTCAAAATCCCATCTTTCACGCAATGAAGGAAAAACAATCAATTTGACGGTTGCGCAACCAGTTGCAAGTACTGTTGGTTTTGGCTTTCATTCTGTACCTTCTCAGTTATTTTATTTCATTGACTGTGCCCTGGATGCTTCTATACATGTTTTTCATGCAAATATAAAACATGTTTTCTGATTGACTGATTAATTTAATTAAATGGGAGGAGGCTTTTCTTCTGCTTTTAGTAGTTGGCATAAGGGGTACTCTTACTTTTTTAAATATGGTGTGCAAATGGCTTTAAAAGGATCCTTGAACACTTCTAAATCTTGTTCAGAATTAAAATATTTGGGGCTTTTTGACATAATGAAAACAATTTTCTAGGCAGCACATAGTAGTCTTTGTATTTCTCATGCAGGTTACCTTATGCATGAGGGGCAAGAACCTATTTTTCCAGTGCTTTCTTTCTGCTCCTTTCCTCTTCCCAGCCTTCTGTCTTCTGTTCCTTTGCAGTCTTCTTTCCCTTTATACCGCAAGCTCAACACAGTTACACTGGTAATTAGAGCTTTATTAGCATTTTACTTGTATTAATTTTCCCACCATCCATTGCCTGCAGAGCACTACAGTTTTTCTTCTGAGTGTATACAGAACCTGACTATGACCAGACTGAAGTTCATTGCTAGATTTTTTGATTCAATAGGAGAAATTTCATAACACTTGAGCCTTTGAGTATGTACCAGTGTGGATCTCACTGTAGGTGCATGTTGCATCATGCACAGGATTTTTAAAAATAGTGTCCATTGGCACCTCCACATGTCCTGTGCACTTCTGAGCTCCTGTTCCCTTAATTATGTCTTACCACCCATTGCAGCAAGATGGAATCCAGTGATTATATTTGTCCTCTTCTCAGCTAGCTTTGTTAAAGAAAATCTATTTTTATCGTTCTTATTCTCTATTTTATTTAATTTGGGTGATTCAGTAAAACCCCAATCCATACATACCCTTCTTTATTGTGGGGAGATGTGCCTTAAATCAACCATCATGGTGGACTCTAAATCTTCAGGGTTTTAACCCTGCCTGTAACAGACTCCTCTCTCTGGTTGATGGGCATTATCAATGTTTTGGTTTGTCTGAAGAACAACCATAAGTGTAACTGCTCTGCCCTTTAAGCCCTTGCTGGGGGACTCAGGGGGAGACAGAACTGCTACGCAGCTCGCGCTCTCTCTCTCTCTCTCTCTCACACTCTCACACACCATCAATCCTATATAGGGACATTAACATGCTTTTTTGGGGACAGGAGGGTATAAATGTGTAACTGCTTTTAAGTTGGCTCCCTGTGAGCACCGGCTCACCTCCCCTTCTACCAGCTGCTTCTGATACAGAAGCAGCAGTGGGGAGGCAGGGGGCAGGGCCTTGAGTTGAACCGTTAAGGTTAACCAATGAGCCTAGGCTCATCAGTTAACTGTTTAAACTAGGGATGTTAAATTTTGTTTAAAAAACGACTTGACTAGACAGTGGATTTTTCATCTACTAGTTGATTAATCGATAAGTAGGGGAACTGCATTGGGGTTAGCTCCTGGCCCCGGGAGCTAACCCAGAGTGAGCTCTGACTTTTAAACATATTAAGAGCTTGCTGGGTGTTTAATACATTAAAAAAAAAAAAAGGTGCAGCCTCTGGGACTGGGCATGAGCCAGAAATCAGCTGATTCCCTAGCTCACACCTGGTCACTGCTACTCCCCACAGAGATGGTGCTGGGGGGAGAACCAGCTTTTAAAATGACCCTCCCCCCCACTGCCTCTGATAGACAGCAAGGGTGGGGGGAATGACTAGTTGAGGGACTAGTAGAATATCTGATAAGCTTTTGATTTTTGCTCACATCCATAATCTTATATGCATGAGATGACTGTGCTCCTATGGTGAAATCCACACCAAATACATCATCTCAAAGCATCACATTTACTTTAGGGCAAGTAAACATTCTTTTCACAACTCAGTCCTACCTCCAAAGTGTTTGTACTCCAGATGACTGATTGTGGCTGATTATGTTTAAAAGAAAATATGTCTGTAATAAATATTCCCCTTAATTATCAGAAATGCATTCAATGATGAGACCATTTGTTTATTATAAATAGTATGCTGGAACAGGCCCAGCACTAACACCTCTTAAAAATTAACAATTAGCAATTTTTATCCTTTCTAAAGACTCTGCTTTTCTATACACTTGAAATTCTCAACTACAGCCATTTTGAGATTGAATGTAAAACATGCTTCAATCATAATACAGTGGCTTAAAAATGCTGTTACTGCTCTTTCTGATTAGGTAGTTCAATGGCTGTATATGTGTTTAAGCTGAATAATTTGTAGCCACTGTTCACTCTCCATCCACACTCACTCATCCACCAACCAGTAAATCCTTTGCCTTTCAATTAAATTTTCCAATTCTGCATTCTGTTGACTTTCATATACCAAGAAAAAAGAGCAGAAAGTGGAATCTCTAAGTGAGATACCCAGCAATACTCATTTAGTTTTTCAATAAACATTCAGGACCTTTTCCAAGTCAGATCAATGTATGTGGTTTTGGAAACAATTGAACATTGTAGTATGATGCTTCACCCTTACCTTAATACAAAACCGAGACAATTAATTCTAATTACTTTTTCTCACTTTGATAATAGCTTATAAGAACAGGTTAAACACTCCACCTGATTGCTTAACCTTCTGTGAAGACGCGTCAAGTACAAAGCCGTTTGCACAAAATGCAGAATTCATTGTGCAGCTTGCCATCTGTCTATCTCGCTAGCACTGTCACATTCTTCTTCTTCACAGCTCTTTGCTGCTATAAATGCTAATCTTGGTAACCATGCTTCTGCACTTTACCAGCTTCTTCCACTGGATTACTTAAGGACTGGTTTAAAATATTGGTTCTATCAAATTGAGGCATATAATCAAGTTTTTAGATATGATTTGAACTACTACTACTTAGCTAACAATTACAATGTCCAATAAAGTATTAAATTGTTAAATAAGTACAATGTATTAATACCCAAACAAGTTATTTTATTAACCTTTTAATTATCTGATGTTCAAAATACACCAGTGAAAGAAGCAAATATTTCCTTCTGTTTGGAGAAAGGCTCACAAGACATGACATTTATATTGTCAGAAAACAAAAAATGTTTGAAAACAAATTGGATAATCGTGATGGTTTTATTTGACTGTCCTAAAAATACCAGTGATTAAGAAATATACTTAAAAGCTGACTATGATAAAACTTTTCAATTGGAAAACCTATGTTTAGTCTTGTGGCCTTTGGAAAGGATTAATATATTATGTAGAACTGTGTATTTTATATTAACTTAAAACTAAAGATGCAGCGCTGTAAGCGGTTTGGATGAAAGAAGACAGATAATTACAGAAGTGAGATCTGAATAGTCATCCTCTAAATTTTACAAGTTTCCGTTTCCAGCTATTTTTACAACTTGGCTAAATAAAGATAACATAACTTAAAATTTTGAATGGTCATATTGGCGCACGCTACTGCTAGTAATATTTATCCTAGTTAACTTAGCTGGAGTTGCTTTTTTTGCTACAATAAAACCTTGTGACCGAGATCCATAGAAAAATTGCTGCGCATAAGTACATAATTCTAGATCTAGATACTTAATATTTAATTTCATTTTTGTAGTATTCTAATTAATGAGCCACAAGAAAAATAACTATAATTTGATACATGTCACTTTGTTGAAAATATAATTTGCTTTCTTATCCTCTAATTTTATTATTTATCAAGCTAAATTGCAATTTTAGGAAGAGACTGGCATGCAGAGAAAGCTCCAAAACAGTATCTTTATTCCTTTTACAAAGTTTAGAAATAATAGTTTGAAAGTTAGAGTTTGAGAGTTTTACTTTTGCAAAGAGCACTGCACCTTTTAAAAATAAATTGAAACTTTTTTATATAATAACTGCCAGCTTTCAACTGTAGCTTTTATATTCTTTTGCATAAGGACCAAATTCTTACACTGGATCTACAGGAGCAATTGTTGGAGCCCATGAAGTTTATCGGGATCCAAGAGAAAAAAGATCTAAAAGGTGAAATAAAGAATAAGTTCTTGAAATAGTAATCTGTGTTCAGAGTAACTAGCTGATGATCTTTGGAATATTTTCAGTTCTTATTTCATACCATTTGATGCATATATCTATGTAAATCTTTCTCATTGGTTAAAGTCAAAAGCTCTTATTTAAGCCTAGAAAAGATATTTTCAAAGAGCATAAGAACATTCAGGACAGTGTAAA